TATAATGCCTTCCTTTAACTGTTGAGTGAACTAAAACTACTGATATTACTTTGTTAGATTAACTTAAATATCTTGGTAAAGGTCTTTTATTTGCATGTGATGTTGAACCGAATTAAAAACGAGTACAGGTTACTTTCAGCAATCTATAAATATGAACTTTATAATAAAATGAGCCTAAATCTGAATCTGAATTAACTCCATTAAACTGATGCCAGGCTACAACATCAGAGTAGAACATGTGAGTGCAAATCCTGTGTTCAAAATTAAACTTTTTTACAAGATTGTAGCAATAAAACTAAAGTACTGAATCAAAATATTCATGAAGAACATTTATGAAAATTATGAAAAAAAATCTTAAGGAAAATGTTGAGTAAAGTCTCTGTTAAATGTTAGAAAATTGGTGAAATAGATTTCTAGAGAGCAAAAACAACCATATTTATTAACGTTTGCAGAGTAACTACAGTAACTAACTATAGTTGTCAATTAAAAACACAAAGACTTGATTATTAGTGAAATAACTGCTGTCAATCACTTTCTGCATTAATATACAGTTCAGTTTGTTATCTGTTCAAACTCAATGAATGTGAGGAGGCACCGTCACGAGCTCTACGCTACGTTACAAACCCACAAAATCAGTCATAGTATTGAGTCTTTATTACTCAAGGTGTAGTGACTTATTCAGACTGTCGGGGAAAGGGTGATAAATATATTAAAATGTATCAAATTTTCATTAATTTTGTAAATCATTTGAGCTTAAATATTTATATATTAAATGAGCCTGTTCAACAACACGACAGTGTGTAAACGGTGGCTGTTAAAAGAGATTAAATAAAACATAAAAAAAGATGTATATGAATGAAATACAATGAATGGTATCAGTGTATTATTGCAACTACTGGAGCTGCCCCCTGCTTTTGGGCTTTTATTTTGAAAGAACAGCCTCAATCTCTTTTTCCATAAAGATACAGATACTATTATAGAGCTTTTATTTTTTTAACTGTGTGTGTCTTTATGTTACATCTGTATGTGAGAGAGACAAGAAAGACAAAATGGCTGACATTAAAAGTGGATCCATTAGAGTAATCATGAATATTAAAATGTTTTCAATTGAGCCAATCACAGTCAGCTTTGTTAATCTCCGCCCAGCAACAAGTTGCTAAAAATAGCTCATAATCAATCCACCAATCAGAGCAGAGGAACATCAGCTGTGTCACTGAGACTGAAACTACCACTCGAACAAGACGGCGTAATTCAAAAACTGTCGATCGTACTGTTAACATGATGTGACCGTCAGCATCCCAAGGCTTTGCTGAACGTACACATATGTCATTTGTGTGGATAAAGTTAAAAATGTTACTGTTACAGCGATTTAAAAAAACAGGCATATTTCAGCTGTAGATGCTGATGGAGCAGTTGGTTATTTTCCTTCTCTGCTATCTGAGAAAATTAAAAATTTCCTCCCATTCATATCACATATCAATATAACACGAGACACATGAGTACAAACACAGAATTGTTGTTTAAAGTGTTTTTTGTTCTGTTTTCCAGAGTCTCACTCACAACTAAGTGGTAAGTCAAAGTTTTTATGCAAATGTTTCTACTTCCTGTCTCCGTCATTTATGATATTTGAAACATGTTTTATTGTTGTTATTTGCTGTCAAACCCAGAATCACAGATTTAAAGCTGCAGTAGGTAATGTCAGTATATCCTGACCGTAGTAAACAAGAAAGATAATCTGTGAAAACATCAGGTTCCTCTGGCTCCTCCTGGGGCCCTAAATGGCATTTGCAAGAATCCACCGCGCCCAAATGAAAGCAACCAATCAGAGCCGACAAAGATAGTTGATGAGTCTCATTCCCAGATCGTCAAATACCGACACTGGGAACTCTTGAAGCCTCCAACCCAAAGGGTCTTTCCATCTTTGTCGGCTCTGATTGGTGGTTTTCATTCAGGCCCGGTGGAACAGTTTTAAACCTTTCTTACTCAGGAATGTTGGATAATCCACACCTGAAAGCATCCTGACACACTCCCAGGATCATAATCCTCAATCAACAGTTCAGTGCTACCGCAGTGGTAATCCAGGGAAGGGAGAGGATTGCTCACTCAGTGTTTTTAATGTCTGTCTGTCCTCAGTGTGCGGTCAGCCTCCGCTCAACACCAGGATTGTTGGAGGACAGGCGGCCCCTGCAGGAAGCTGGCCCTGGCAGGTCAGTCTGCACAAAGGGGGTCACTTCTGTGGAGGATCCCTCATCAACAACGAATGGGTGCTGACTGCTGCTCACTGCTTCTCAAGGTGAGCACTGGTAGAGGGTCACAACAACATGCAACATCAAACTCTGACTATACGTGGTCTTAAAGACATACAGATATGTTTACTAATTTTCTTTAAACAAATATCCCGGACGAGCCCCCAAATTGTTACGACCTCAGTTGGGAGGTCCAGGGGAAGAGAGGCGCAACAATTAATAATTAACCGGGTGTTTAAAGAAGGAAAGGAAGAAGAAAAGAAAAGATTTTTACTATTAAACTATTTACTTAAATGTAAATTAGTTCAATGTACGGCACCACAACACTACCTGGCAGCTTGGCCCACTGGTCTCGTCTGCTTCCATCGAGGCAGCTTTAAAGCAATTTGTATGACTGTTAAACTACTGCAGTTGTGCCTGACCAGTCGGAGTGGAGGGCGGCACCTGGAACAAGACACAGGACACAATATAGGCAAAACACACGTAACAATGTCTTTGCACTGTTTCGTCTCTCTTCTGATCCCCTCAGCACCAGCACAACCAATCTGGTTGTGTATCTGGGTCGTCAGAGTCAAGAGGGATCCAACCCCAATGAGGTGTCTCGGACAGTAACACAGATCATCAATCATCCCTCATACGACTCCAGTACCAATGACAATGACATCTCCCTCCTGAAGCTCTCCTCACCGGTGACTTTCACCAACTACATCCGGCCCGTCTGCCTGGCAGCCTCAGGCAGCACCTTCTACAATGGCACGGACTCCTGGGTCACCGGCTGGGGCGACATTGGATCTGGAGGTGGGTCAGTTCTTTATTTGGGCAGTTTTACTATAATCTGTCACATTAGCAAACACACAGTTTTGGAACACGGAACAATTTAACCGTCATTCAAAGGTCCTTTAGGTTGTTGTTGATTCATAGAGAAACAGGTGTTACTTGAGGTGTGCCACAGACCTACTTATATCTGTACCTAAACAGTCTATTCTGTGTGAAACCATTTTAAAGTATATTTCACAACTTGTGTTGTTAATTCAACTAAATATGTGTCTCTTTAGTGCCACTTCCTTCCCCACAAGACCTGATGGAGGTGGAGGTGCCGGTTGTGGGGAACCGACAGTGTAACTGTGACTATGGAGTGGGCTCAATCACAGACAACATGATCTGTGCCGGGTTGCGTGCTGGAGGAAAGGACTCATGTCAGGTGATCATTTTTACAGCCGTGATTGTGTCAGATTCACATTGTAAAGATTCCTTCTCCTAAATGTTTCTCTCCTCAAAGGGCGATTCAGGCGGTCCGATGGTGAGCAAGCAGAACAGTCGCTGGATCCAGGAGGGAATTGTGAGCTTCGGAGAAGGTTGTGCCGAGCCTAAAAAGCCAGGAGTTTACACCAGAGTGTCCCAGTATCAGTCCTGGATCAACAGCCAGATCACCAGCAACCAGCCGGGCTTTGTCACCTTCATGTCCAGTGGGACTGACAGTGACCTCAGCGTCACCTGTCCTGGGCTGCCACTGCCAACTACCACAATCGCTCCAACAACCACTATAGCTCCAACAACCACTATAGCTCCAACATCCACTATAGCTCCAACAACCACAATTGCTCCAACAACCACTATAGCTCCAACAACCACTATAGCTCCAACATCCACTATAGCTCCAACATCCACTATAGCTCCAACAACCACCGTAGCTCCAACAACCCCAGCCAAACGTGAGTGCCTCAGTTTGAGTGAGTTTGAACAATGTTTGATGAAACAACAGGACATGTAACGATGAATCAACAGTATCTGGTCAGAGTTTAAAGACATTAAAAATCTTTTTGATGTCTAAATGTTGACTGTCTCTCCAGCTGTGGTCTGCGGCCAAGCCCCAATGAATTCACGTATTTTGGGAGGAAGCTTGGTGGCGACAGCCGGTGTTTGGCCTTGGATGGCGAGCTTACAGAAGAATGGAAGTCACATGTGCGGCGGGACTCTGGTGTCCGAGGACTCAGTGTTGAGCGACACCAACTGCTTCTCAAGGTGAGAAGTTGGCTGCTGTGAAAAAGGTCTAGAAAAACTCCAAGAAAACGATTTCTTACAAAGAGTGTGAACAGTCTCAGAAGGTGAATCTGTGAAGGTCCGGTTGTTGTCGTCAAACCAAGTTTCCTGACTGAGTTGATTGTGTCTCCTGCAGTTCTCCCGTAGCGTCTGAATGGACCATCGTTTTGGGTCGTCTGAAGCAGAATGGATCCAACCCCTTCGAGGTGACGCTGAATGTGACCAACATCACTCTGAGCAACCTGACCGGGTCTAATGTAGCAGTGCTGCGTCTGTCAACCCAACCCATCCTGTCCGACTACATCCAGCCCATCTGCCTGGACAACAAACAAACCTTCAGCGAGGGCTCGACGTGCTGGGCTGCCGGCTGGAGCTCCGGGCGAGGAGGGGGTGAGTCCAGTTTAATGCTAACTCTCTTTTAGCTTCCTGCCATCTGGGTTTGATTCACACGTTTCATAATTTTCTTATTTTTTCCAACTTTAGAGGAGGAAGTTCTGCAGGAGTTCCAGACTTCGGTGGTAAATTGTGGGAACAGTTCATCGAGTGACACCATTTGTACGAGCTCTTTCACACTGGAGGAGGTGAGTAGTGAGAGCAGATTATTAAACTTTTATGTTTTTTTTATCTGAAGTTTCACCAAAAGATGTGACTGACTTCCATAATCAGAGCAAGGTTAAAATTGTCGGACTTGAACTTATCTGTCTGTCTGTTCAGGGCGATTATGGCGGTCCGATGATGTGCAAGAAGGACGGCTCTTGGTTCCAGGCGGTGGTGTTATCGATTGACAGCAACTCCATAAACACCTCCAGTAATACACGAGCAGATCCACCGATGGTCTTCGCCAAACTGAGCACCTTTCAGTCCTTCCTGTCTCAGGTTCTAGGGACATTCTTATCTCCACCCGCCACCCCCGCCGCTGCTGCCGCCGCCTCCGCCGCCGCTGCCGCCTCCGCCGCCGCCGCCGCTGCTGCCACAGCTCCCAGCAACCAGACCACCACTGCCGGCGCTCCCGCTCACTCCTCCTTCTTCATCTTCTTCCATCTCCTCGTCTTGTCTGCGTGTCTCCACCTCTTCTTATAGAAACTCCAACTTTATCCGTAAATAGGGATTTACAGGATGTGACGAACACAAATGAAAGTAAACAACGTTGAATCTGAGACACAATTCAGGCTTAAAGCTACATGAAGTAATCTATGACTTTATTCTGTTGGTGACAGGAACAGAGTAGTGACGTAAGCGTTAGCTTACTGGCTAACAAATCTACATCAATCGTTAGGTAGACAGTTAATCAATAAATTCTATCTATCTACAGAGCAAAGGTTAGCTAACTGTTTTACATGAATCATTAGCTGACTAGTTACATCTGATAGTTTGTGTTAAATTAAGGTGACCAGATTTCCGAAATGAAAATCGGGGAAATTGTTTACCACGGTGGTCAAAATCGTTAATCGTTATCGTTATGAAATGAATAACAGGGGCAATTACATGTTAATGTATTTTGACAAAGCAAATGAGTAGCCAATAAGAAGTTACCCTTCCACTCGTGAATTCTGCCATATTCCACAGCAAAGCATTACATGAGAGGATTTACACACTCCTGTGCACTCCTTGTGATAGAAAGTCAGAACAAACTCTGAGTGCAACCTGCAACGCGTGCTTCCCCCTGTAAGGATGGGGCCCCTAAAATAAAATAAAAAAGGAGGCGCTCTCCAGCTGGCTCCCCCGTCACTCACCTACAGCTGCACAGATGAGCAGAGGAGCGCTCTGCTGTTCTGGCGTGGATGTGCCGCAGCACAGCGGGAGCAGCGCGCGTGTGTTTTATAAAAAAAAAAGCAAACAAAAAGAGACCAGCCGGTCGACACAAGCCATTTACCGCGCACGTAACGTCAGCACGTTAGTTCAACTGGTTTAACCATAATAACTGGAGTGTGCATCCATACGCAACTTTTTTTCTCCCGCATTCAAATTGGGGACATTTTCGGGGACAGCTTTAACCAGGGACAGGTCGGCCAAATCGGGGACTGTCCCCGAAAATCTGGGACGTCTGGTCACCCTATGTTAAATGCTACCTAACTAGCTACAGTTGATGTAGATTAGGTACTCAACAGTAAAACATGATTCATAGTTTCTTATTCCAGTCTAAACTGAAGGGTGCAAAATACGGGTGTGATATGAAGAACTTTTAAAGATGCACTGAACAAATGTAGATTTAGCATAACACTGAAAGCAAACCATGAAATGTGGTTCATAGTTTTTGAAGCTACATGGATCAATAATTATATCTACTCTGCTGTTTTTATTGTGATTTTTAAAAAATCAATCTGTTAAATGTTAATGTTAAATGAAATCTGTGTAATATATTGATTTCAATGATTATTATTATTATTTTTGATTGTTGAACAGGAGCCATAAGTGTCATTCAGTATGTCATTGTTGGATTCAGACATTATAATGATTTGTAATTTATATAATTGTTGTTATTCAGTGATCAATAACTCATTTGCTGCCATTTAATTCCCTGCACACTGTAACAAATGGATTAAAAGCTTAAAGAAGCATATTTTAGGTCTGAGGAACACATCTACCTCATATTACCAGAGAGCTACTGTACCATAATGTTTATTTCTATCTGACAAAGCACTTAATGTGAACGCCTCTGAAAGTACACAAGCTGCACTTTACAATGATCATTATTTGGTCTGAAAGATAAATGTCAATCTTGCCGAGCTCATGAAATAAATCCGTCATGTAAATGTGAAAGTACTGAATCATTTCTCTCTTTGTCTTTTTAATGTGTTATAATATTGTAATGAGGTCGTTATTATGTCATAAGCGACCCTGGATAGGGGATGTATTTCACTCTAAATTCCCAGTAAGGGCAAGGGGTGCGGCTATTCTCATACATAAGAGTATTCCATTTGAGTTATCGAACTCCATTGAAGACCCTAATGGTCGATTTGTAATTATTTCTGGTAGACTATGTGGCATGCCTGTGGTTATGGCCTGTGTTTATGCACCTACATGGGATGACAATAAATTAATTTCAAGCTTTTTCTCTTCCCTCCCTAAAGTTAATGACCACTACTTAATTATTGGTGGCGACTTTAATTTAGTTCAAGACCCCTCCCAAGACAAGTCTTCCTCTAATCCTCAGGTGTTATCCAAGTCATCCAAAGTCCTTGACACGTATAAGGTCAGTTTAGATTTATTAGACCCATGGAGAGCTAAATCCCATTCAGGCAAAGCTTTTTCCTTTTATTCGCACGTCCACGTTTTTTTATTTTTTATCAGAAGTTCACTCATGTGAGTACCATAGCATCGTTATCTCAGACCACGCCCCTGTATCTATTGAGATTGGCTTTCCTAGTCGTGTCCCCCCCTCCAGACAGTGGAGACTTAACTCCTCTTCGCTAGCCCAAGCTTCTTTTAAATAATTCCTTCATTTGCAGATCTCCTTGTTCTTTGACACTAATGATTCTCCAGAGATCTCTAGATGCACTCTATGGGAAACTTTTAAGGCGTTTATGCGTGGGTAAATTATATCATATGTCTCAACCTTAAAGAAGGCAGAAAGGGAGGAGTCAGAGGCACTCACCAAGGAGATATTTAGAATCGACAATTTATACGCCTTAGCTCCCACCCCTGCTCTTTATAAAGAACGCCTTCGAGATTAATAAGATATTTAGTTCTTTCTACTCAAACCTCTACTCTTCACCATGTCCTTCAGATGTTTGGGATGGCGATAACCCTCTAGATAAGATTATCTTCCCTAAAATAAATGTGGATTTGTGTAGGGAGCTGGGAAGCCCAATCTCTATCAAGGAAGTACAGGAGGCGGTTATGTCACTTCAGAACGGTAAAGTTCCAGGCCCTGATGGTTCACTGTTGAGTTTTTTAAGATATTCTCTCAGCCCTCCAGAGAATGTATAATGAATCCTTTGCTGAAGGCCGCCTGCCTCCCACCCTGTCGGAGGCCTCCATTTCTCTCCTGCTTAAGAGTGACAAAGACCCTCTCATGTGTGGTAGCTTTAGGCCCATTTCCCTCTTAAATGTTGACCTAAAGATCCTGTCAAAGATCCTAGCCCAACGCCTACAACGGGTCCTACCAAGTATAGTATCAACTGATCAAACGGGTTTCATGCTTGGAAGGCACTCATTTCATAACACAAGGAGGCTCTTAAATATCATTAGCTCTCCTAGTTCGTTCCGGAAGTGATTATCTCACTAGATGCAGAGAAATCCTTCGACATGGTGGAGTGGAGCTTCCTTTTTTTGTTCTGCAGAAATTTGGTTTCAATCCAGAATTTATATCTTGGATAAAATTGCTTTATGCCAGCCCAGTCGCCTCAGTCCACACAAATGGACTCCAGTCTGCCCCATTTCCCCTTCATCGTGGAACCAGACAGGGCTGCCCCCTTTCCCCCCTCTTATTTGCCATAGCTATTGAACCTTTAGCCGTCTGGCTGCGTCAGGAGGGTGGAATTACTGGGAGAGAATTACCAGAACTGGGAAAGTTCATAAATTATCGTTATATGCCACCGACCTCCTTTTATACATGTCTAATCCAGCTGCCTCTCTCCCTGTGGTTCTAAGTATCTTTGACAAATTTGGGTCTTATACAGGCTATAAACTTAACCTCCACAAGAGCGAACTTCTTCCATCAATTCTCTGGCCAAAAATATACCCCCGTCCTTTTTCCCTTTCAAATATGCTACAGACGGATTTAAATATTTGGGGGTGTATGTTACAAATTCAATTAATCGACTTTTCTCCAAAAATTTCTCTCCTCTCCTTGAGAGGTGTAAACTAGACTTCAACAGATGGTCTGGTCTCCCACTGTTCCTAGTAGGTCGTGTTAATTTAGTTAAAATGGTTGTTTTACCCAAGTTTCTATACCTTTTTTCACATATCCCCGTCCTTATTAAAGAGTCCTTTTTTAGATTGCTCGATCAATTAATAAGTTCCTTCCTCTGGGGCAATAAAAATCTGCGCATCAGAAAATCAGTGCTACAGCTCTTGGTGGCTTAGCATTGCCCAATTTCTTACACTATTACTGGTCCTGTATTCATAATGAAGAGCGACCTGCATGGGTGGATATAGAATTTGCATCCTCTAAACTCTCTCTTCATTCTCTGGTTTGCTCCCAATTCCCTTGGACTGCCTCCAACTTTACCTCGAACCCAGTGGTAGATCACTCTGTTAAAATCTGGATTCAAATTAGGAAACTGCCAGACAGTGACGACTGACCCCCCAACCTTTTTTTCTTTTTTTAATTTCTAACATTTTTATTTCATTTACTTATTTATTTCAGTATTTTATTTATTTATTTATTTATGTATCTGTTTTATTTTATGTATATTATACTGTTCACATGTCAATATTGGATTTACTTTGAGAATTGTTCTCTCTTGGGTGGGGTGGGATTATGGGAGGGATAAAAAGATCAGGGAAAAAATGAAAGAATGGAAGCCCTCTCTGTAGAACTGTCATGCTGTTGCCTGTGAAATTGCTCCCAATAAAGAAAGTTAATAAAAAAATTATAGCTGCAAGCAGCGTTGGGCGGGACCTCGCACTCCACGCAACTCGGGGCGTGCTGCGGACCACAACATGAAAATCTGCCGTTAATCAGTTCAAAATCAGCATGCAGCGCTTACTTCCTGTTGCCAGTAGGTGGCGCTATCACTATGTCTGCATATTGTCATGTACACGTGTTCAGGGCGGGACTGTTATCAAGCATTTGAAGTGTGGAGCCGATCGGGCAATGTACACTCAACTTATAGCAAATTTGTGTTTTGTGGCGGCCCATCAAAATGTCCCGCCACCCCACAGACACGCCCCCTCACCACAGTCAACACATATCATCAACAATGTGTTTTGCATTTTATAAGTAAATTTCAGCTGGATCTGATCATCCTGCGAGGAGTACAACATGAAAGTATAAAACGTGATACTTCCTGTTACCAGTATGTGGCGCTATCACAATGTCTGAATATTGTCATGTAGACATGTTCAGTGTGGGACTCTTATCAAACACGTGAAGTTTCACTGAGATTGGATCATGTACGTTGAAGTTATGAGGAAGTGTTCAGGGTGGGACTGTACACTGAAGATATGAGTACTATTTGTTTGATGGCCAATCGGTGGAATTCGACATGTCGTCACGGGCACACGGTTAAACATACAGTCACAAATAGCACAACTTTTGATAACCAATGTGTGTAGATTGAAGTGATCGAATTTGAAGTCAATCTGATAAAATCTGTAGGAGGAGTTAGTTAAAACAGAAGCCCTTAAATGCCGGAAATAGCATCACAGTTTGACATTCGATTCAACCTGGCCAACTTTGAGGGAAAGCCACAGACACGCCCTTTAACATACAGTCACAAATAGCACAACTTTTAATCAGCACCATTTTTTGACTGTACTGACTAATTTTGAAGCAGATCTGATAAATTCTCTAGGAGGAGTTTGTTCAAATACAACACAAAAAAACGCTGAAAATCATTGCAAAATGCCGGAAATGCCATCAAGAGTTTGACATTTGATTCAACCTGGCCAACTTTGAGGGAAAGCCACGGACACGCCCTTTAACGTACAGTCAGAAATAGCACAACTTTTAATCAGCACCATTTTTTGACTGTACTGACTAATTTTGAAGCAGATCCGATAAAATCCCTAGGAGGAGTTCGTTCAAATACAACGCGAAAAGTTTGCCGAAAGTGAAACTTTAAATCAAAATGGCCGACTTCCTGTGGGGTTTCGGGTATGGGTCCAAGAGGCTTTTTTGTGCGTCCCGGCATGTTACACGTGCCTACCGAGTTTCGTACATATTGGTGTGGGGCCCCCAAACTGCAAGTTCAGCCTCATATTTTATTATATTTTGGAGAATTAAAAGTACCTGTCTTTATTTGTATGTATTGCATGCATTCATTATGCATTTATTTGTAAAGCATGTAAGTGTTCGTGGGGTAATCAGGTCAAAATCACCTTTGGGCTGGGCTGTCACGTGGTAAGTGACAGCCGCCCACCTTCCACTGAAGTGACGAGAATAACGGATGACGCTGATTACAACGTCATCGAAACGTACGTATGCGTCTGGTGCAGAGAAACGACCACAGGATAAAGGTAAGGCATTTGATGTGGGGGGGAGGGGGACACATAATGCCAACTTCTGAACAAGTTAGTTTGTTACTGTTGTCATGCTGGCTAGTTCAGCTATCCTCAGATAAATGTGAGCTACCTCAGCTAACGGGCTATGATTGTTTGTTTGTTTGTTTGTTTGTAAATAAAGTCAGCTTTATCCAGAGTTTGATTTACAGGAAGGCTCAAATAAATGTGTCTCAAGCATAGACCTGTGCTACTATTGTATAAATAAAACCAATTATTATCAGACTGATTATTGTTACTTTTAGTAGTAGTAGTAAAATAAGATAGATAGATAGACGTAGATAGATAGATAGATAGATAGATAGATAGATAGATAGATAGATAGATAGATAAGATAGTAGTAGTAGCAGTATAGCAGTGGATTATTCATATAGCACTATGAATTTTTTTTCTTTACTAGAATATTTATTGTGACAATGTAGTTTACTAATTTGAACAAACCTGTATATTTAAAGTGTCCTGTACTGCATAGGACTGCTAGTTGTCCACTTTGTAATGCACTGCAAGATATATGCAAACATATTCCCTTTATATCATATGGTGCTCATCACTCATTTACCTTCATTTTTATTAATTAACTAGTATAATGTGGAGATAAACACAGAAAAAACTGGTAGATGCTTAAACAGGGACACTGTATATTGTAATGTTTAATATAAAAACAGATTCAGAATTTTTTGCATAGTTCAACACAGCTGCAGTTATATGATATGAATATTTGCTTCTGATTGCTTGGTAACCTAAGGAGCTTTGTCTTTACAGGAGCAATTCTGAAATAGTTCGGAGGTCCAGTTCAAGGAGAGCCAGGGGGACCTTCATCAGCTTCTGACCAGGAAGCAGCAGGACCATCAGCAACTGAAGCAAGGAAGCAGAAGTTTTGAGGAGGAGAACGTAAGACTGTGATCATACAGATCCTCATCACAAAGTAGTGATGTTGTACAGTTATATATGGTTCATTTTAAACTACAACTACAATATATACTACATAACTAGTTTTTTAATTTATTTTGTATTGATTGTGCAATAATATGGATGCTGGTCCATTATACTTATTTATTTAAGTAAGTTTAGTTATTTATTTTTTACTGTTTTTGAAAGGTTGGGTTAAAGCTTTTTTATGTTATGCCACCTCAAAGTTTCCATTAAAAAAATTTCTGTTGCATTTATAATGTACTCTAGCCTGCTTTCCTCTTGTAACAGACTGCTGCATCATCACAGAATATATGAAAAAGTTAGGAATCTCTACCTCAGAGTTTGAAAAAAAAGGGGCCCCCAAATAGTATCTCACGTAGGGCCCCCAAACAGCTAGAAACGGTCCTGGTTGTGCCCTTCGCCCTGGTGGGGATCAGCCTTCTGGAGGCCATGCTGGTGAGCTTCCTATTTGACCTCGATGGTTATTGTGGTCAGAAGACTCGAAGCTCTGTTAACGTCCAAGAGGAGATTCAGCTGGAAGCAGACTTTGACAAAGGTAAAGTTTCTACAGACTAAAGATTTCTTATGTTTCTGTGTTTGTTAAAGGTTTTATACACGAGCATCTCCGACCAGAACAACAGGACAGAAACTAAATAAAACTCACTTAAACCGTCTTTGTTAGTCTTTCCAACAATCAACAACTCTGATTTGGTGGAAAGAAGAATTTTGTTTACTTTATTGATCTGAATTTAAGTATTTGTACCTTTAATTTAAGATTAATAATTAGCAATCTTACAATGAGACACAATTTCTTTTAACACAATAAAAATAAGTGACTTTGACTTAAATGAAGGAACCAGTAACATTATTATTATTATAATTTTTTTATTAAAGCAATAAAACTAAACAGCTGCTTCATTTCCAACACTGGGACCAGGCGACTTTTTATTAAACTGAGAAGTTGTGCGAGTGCTCTTATTCTGAAAATAAGTACAATAATCTGTTTCCTCTGCTGGAATATTATGCAACCATTGTTGTTACTGGTTAAATCAAACTCAATATTAGCTGTAAGATCTTATTAAGACACAGTTAGAAATATTTTCTTAAAATCAGATTCTAATGCAAAACATGTTTGACAAGATTATTTTCAATATGTTTCTTTTTCTGTCACTTATTGTTTTTATTTTATTTTTGTTTGAAAGTCAGCTTTTTGTTTCTATTGTCGACCTTTTTCAGATGTAAAATTATTTCGTTTATTTTCTGATCTTTATGTTTGTTTGTTTTAAATCAATACTGTGTCATTTTAAATTAATTTTTTATCATTTTGAATTGAAGATCAGCAACCAAAAATAATGAAAGAAAAACAAAAAACTGAAAATTAATTTTATTTGTATTAAACCAGTAAATAATCTTACTAGAACTTCCAAAATATATTAGTGAAATATAACTGGACTATATAGAAATGGACTGATTGATTTTCTAATATTTTCTCTTTAAGATAATTTAAAACAAAGTAAAACAGAAATATCAGTGAGAATGAATTTGTTGTGGTCGTCTTTTCTTTGTGACTGATCTCAGAGCAGTGTGACGACAAAGCTCCACCTCTTAATGACATCACCTGAGACCAACCATGAAACAGGTTGTTCCTGTTCAGTTGTCACTGAGGAGAGACACACAGACGGAGAGACAGACGGTAAGATTTACCTTCATTACAAATCTGTGACTTTAACTGAGGGACAACAGTTACAGGACGGAGTACTGAAGTAAACTGAAGTAGTTCAACCTGCTGCTGACTGAAATAAACACTCAAAGACTCAAAGTGAAAGTAACTGATGCAACATTTTACAGCAGGGTGAGGAAACACAACTGAGTTCATGTTTAACGTGCTGTTTGCTGTTTCCAGCTGCACTCAGAGACAAAATGGCTTCCAGATTAGAGGAGGATTTCTGCTGTCCGGTCTGTCATGATGTCTTTAGAGATCCTGTTGTTCTGTCATGCAGCCACAGCTTCTGTAAAGACTGTCTGAAGAGCTGGTGGACAGAGAAACAAACACGTGAGTGTCCAGTTTGTAAGAGAAGATCTTCGAGGGAAGAACCACCCTGTAATCTGACTTTAAAGAACCTGTGTGAGAGTTTCTTACAGGAGAGAGATCAGAGATCTTCAGAGGCTCTCTGCAGTCTGCACTCTGAGAAACTCAAACTCTTCTGTCTGGACCATCAGCAGCCAGTGTGTGTCGTCTGCAGAGATTCAGAAAAACACTCCAACCACAGATTCAGACCCATCGATGAAGCTGCACGACAACACAAGAAGGAACTTCAGGAAACTCTGGAGCCCTTAAAGAAGAAGTTAAAGGTTTGTGAAGGAGTTAAAGTGAAGTTTGATCAAACAGCAGAACACATGAAGGTCCAGGCCCGACGCACAGAGAGGAAGATTAAGGAGCAGTTTAAGAAGCTTCACCAGTTTCTAGAAGAGGAAGAGGAGGCCAGGCTGGCTGCACTGAGGGAGGAAGAGGAGCAGAAGAGTCAGATGATGAAGGAGAAGATGGAGGCTCAGAGCAGAGAGATAGCAGCTCTTTCAGACACAGTCAGAGCCACAGAGGAGGAGCTGAGAGCTGAAGACGTCTCATTCCTGAACAACTACAAGGCTGCAGTGGAAAGAGTCCAGCAGCGCCCCCTGCTGGAGGATCCACAGCTGCCCTCAGGAGCTCTGATAGACGAGGCCAAACACCTGGGCAACCTGACCTTCAACATCTGGAACAAGATGAAGGACATGGTCTCCTACAGTCCTGTGATTCTGGATCCAAACACTGCTCATCCAGAACTCATCCTGTCTGAAGATCTGACCAGTGTGAGAGGAGGAGAGGAACAGCAGCTTCCTTATAATCCAGAGAGGTTTAATTGGTTCTGCTCTGTTCTGGGCTCTGAGGGCTTTAACTCAGGGACTCACAGCTGGGATGTTGAGGTTGGAGACAGTACAGACTGGAGATTGGGTGTGTCAGCAGAGTCTGTCCAGAGGAATGGACTCATACTGTCTGGATTATGGGTAATACGGTTCTATGAAGGTAAATACTCAGCATGGTCATCATCAGCTCCACAAACTGATCTTGTAGTTCAGAAGATGGTCCAGAGGATCAGAGTGAATCTGGACTGGAACAGAGGAAAGCTGTCGTTCTCTGATCCTGATATTAACACACACATACACACCTTCACACACACTTTCACTGAGAGGATGTTTCCATACATTAACACAGGGGATAAAGTCCCACTGAAGATATTACCAGTGAAGGTCAGTGTGACAGTGGAACAGAGCAGTTAGAGATAAAGAGGATGATTATATTCATGATGTTTATTTCTTAAAGAGAAAAGTCTCTGAATTGAACCTGTTAAACTGAAACCTGCTCCTCATTATTCCAATTGAGAACATAATAAAAATAGTGACTTTATCTTAAATGAAGGAACCAGAAACATTCTTATTTTTATTATTTTTCTATTAAAACAATGAAAAACTAAACAGCTGCTTCATTTCCAACACTGGAACAACAATAAAAACCTAATTCTATTTCCTTTTCTTTATATCTTGTATTTTTCTGTTTTATTTTATTGTTTAATTGTATTTCTGTTTTATTATCTGATATTTTCTATCTGGTTTTATTATTCTGGTTGTTTTTATTTTCTTTTTGTTGTTATTTAGTTTGAAATCAGCTTTTTGTTTTTATTGTCGACCTTTTTCAGATGTAAAATTGTTTCATTTAGTTTCTGATCTTTATCTTTGGTTTTCTTTTAATCGATACTGTGATATTTTAAATTAATTTTTCATTATTTTAACTTAAAGACCAGCGACCAGTTTGTGGAAGGTCCGTGTATGTTTTGGTCATTGGATTTTCCTTTCAGAAACGGGTATTAAAAAACAGAAAACGAGTGGTTATTTGATTTTCGTTTTAAAATACAAAAATAAAATTGAAATACAAGGCGTTTTTCTTTTTCATGGTCAAAAAGGGATGAGCGAAATTTAAAAAATGATTCGATTTTCATTTTCTATTTCATATAACAAAAAATAAAATCACTAGAAAACAGAAACAGAAAAAAGGCCTGTTGTTTCATATTCTGAGACCGGATGTTGTCATTAACAGGACGGTGCTGTGGAGAAGAAACAGTAGACTAGTAGACTGCGGTCAATCCAGCCGTGAGTCCGATCCCCGTGGTCAAATCAGCCGCACTTAAATTTAGAGTGTACAAGTATTCTCAGCATTATGGTAAATGCGGAGAAACAGCGTATTTACTTCCGGTTTTCAAAATAAAGGTATTTAGAGCCGTAAGCTATAATTAAAATATGTTACATTAAAGTGTTTCATGCGCCCCTGATGAATAAAAAAACACTTTATATCAAGTATCTTTACTGCACCAGTGTGGAGAAATGCCAAATTAAAAGTCTCATATTTATGCTCCAGAGATTGCTTATTTGACCATATTTGAGGTACTGTAAAAACATATTGCTCAGTGTTTCCTGATATTTATTATAGGTATTTTTTCATTGCTTATGATATAATATTGTATATATGACTTGCATATTACAAACTAAAGGAGATGTGGATGAGTGTGTGAAAGAAACATTCAAAATGTAATGAAAAAGGCAAACAAACTGAACTGAAATAAAACAAATGAACAAATCTTTATTTTTATTCATGCACAGAGAGAGAGAGAGAGAGAGAGAGAGAGAGAGAGAGAGAGAGAGAGAGAGACAGAGAGAGAACAACATTCAACATACAGGTGTCTTAAAGACACACAAACTAAAACATTAAATGGAGCCTATAAAGTTGCTGGCAGGCTCCCAGGTGTCTTCCCAAGTTTTGCCACTGAAAAAAAAGAATGAATGCAAACAAGTGTAAGATCATTGCATATACCACAATATTAGTTTATATCAATGGGGTATCATAGAACAACAAATGACTTAGGATTGGTTTTTCAGAAGCTTGCTACTAACCAGTGTGGAAGTAAGTACATATATATTTATAAAGCATACTGTAAAAAAAGCTTTAAAATCAGCTAATGTGGGTCAAAGTTCTGAGCTCTTACCACGAGGAACAAGGCAGCCAGCTCACTTTTACCTCTTCTCTTCCTGCACACACACACACACACACACACACACACACACACACACACACACACACACACACACACAGAAACATTCCAGCAACCACTGTTAAATGAACTGCTATTTCACTCAGTCAGTTAATTACCTCCTTTAGTTGTTTCTTTTATTTCATTGTAGTGAAATATTTTTTGCTTCTAACATTTTCAGCAGCCTAAAATTATGCAAAAAAAAGAAAAGAAGAAAGAAGGAGACTAAATTTAGAAACAGACTTTGACATCCCCCAGGTGAATACAGAACTCACAGGGGTCAGCACAACCGAAGCAATGGCTGAGCTTCACCCTGGGTTTGAACCACCTTCTTGATCATGATATCTCACCTATTCACTGTTCTTTGATTGTTATTGTGGACCTGGTACACCTTGGTCAAGGTTCCGAGCTAGCTGAGCTGATACTAAAAGGTGGTGTGACATTACTGCCAACCACTGATTAGTCACACGACAGTTGACATCCTGCATAAAGCCTAGATTTTTAAAAAGCCAAACTATCATTAATAGTTAAGTTTTTTTATTCACTCAAAAATGGCAGCCCACAACACCATGCTGTGGTCAACTGACAAAGTCCAGACTTGTCCAGAACATAGCTTCATATCCTCTGTTATGAGTAGCGTAGCTGTTTATGTGCGTAGTGTGTTGTCAGTGTGGCAGTAAATGTACAGTGTAGCTTAGAGTCTGTCAATAAAGAAAGGCTGCAGCTTCTCAAGACCAAAGTAAAGCTTGTTTCCCAACTTCATTGCTCTGACAATCACCTCTGCCTACATTGAGGGGTCCCATCCAAAGTTCTATCTACAGTGGAAAAGAAGTCGAGGACCCAAAACTGAATAGAGTAGAGTTGAGCTGTACAATGCTGACGCATAGAGGAAGAGAAGGAGTGTCCATCTTGTCTCATATGTGTCCACATTAGTTTTTGTTTTATCTCATGAATAATTTATCTTCTACCTGTAGATGAGGACAAGTTAGTGAGTAATCCTTTATGTTTTTTATTGTTACTGATAATAACAGGGATTAGGGAAAAAAACTGTTCTCCGAAAAGTCTTCTGTTTGCATCGCTCTTTGCATGTGTCTGGTTCATTGTGTCTACATGCACACAAACAATATTATCATGCTGCTATCAAGGAATTGCATTGCACATTTAATTTGATGAGTAGGCTGTACCACAAAAACAAAAAATACCTCTCTTCCTCTTTTTCTTCCCTTCACCTGTTGCACTGGTCAAGGAGATAGTAGGTCTGGGAGAGCGGGAGCACTGTGCAGACACACCTGTGACAAAGGTGGATGACTTTAGACACATTACTTAAAATATGGCAGAAGGTGATTAATGCTAACACTCACTTTCAGTCATGGTTTTTTGAGAGGGAGATGCTGAGGCGGTGCTTGGAGGCCGGACAGGGACGAGGGTTAGTGTGTAAGTCTCCTCCTCATAGTCCATTTGGGGATGAGAAGTAGATGGGAGGAAGGTGGAAGAGTCTGGAGGATGAGGAGGAGAAGAGGGTTGGGAGGGAGAGGAGGTAGACTGTGGAGTTGGAGATGGGCTGGGAGCTTCTGGCAATTGCATCCTTTGAGAATCTGAAATAATATAAATATAAATATTACTCACAATGACAGCACATCCCAAAGCATAAATCATAAAAACAGATGTTTGCCTTACTTTTAATAATGCACTCATATGCCCTGCTCATCTTTTCTAAAAAGGGTTTTACAGGCCCGTCCCCTCCAGGGCACATGTAGGTGATCATTTCAGCATTTACTGTGTTCACCCTCTTCTTCTTCTTCCTGATGAACAAAATTGGGTTGTAGCCAAAGGCAGCAAGCTTGCTCACCTGAAATGTACACAATTACACAAAATGTTAACATGGCATTATTATTACACACTGACATGTTACAATTTTTTCACTTTATTTGAATGTTATGTGTGCACCAGTGTTTGCTAATGTCTATAATCTTTTTCAAGGGTTTCTTGAGAGTTTTCTAATGAACTGTAGGTGTGTGTACATACAACATTCTTTCAGACAGAAAAGTGTGGACAGGGTTCTGTGGAGCGCTGGGATGAAGAGAAACAAATGCTATGTTAACAGAGAGTTCACTGTCTCTGTTATTATAGTTTCTGTCTGAAATATCATAAAGCTCAGGAGACAGACATGGCCAAAACAAGTTCTCCCTCCATTTCTTTTTAGTTTAGTTCTTCGGAGATGCAAACACATGCATTGCACCCTCAGTTTAATATTTTGCACTTTCAGTTCAAATTGCATATTAATGCCAAGCATAAGTTGGTCTGGCACATGGACTGCGTGAGCATCTTCATGCTCACCAGCAGCTCAATCAGCAAAAGAGTTGGATGAAGGTTAATAAAGGTCAGCGGGTGTGGTGATTAATAAATACTCTCCCAGCTTGTCACATCACTGTTCTCATAGCTCTGAAACAACTGAGCTAATCAGTTAAACATGATAGCAACAGCTCGGCAAATAGAAATCTTCATCTCAGGAAATGTCTGGATGGTTCAGACAGTCACAACATGATAAATAGTTAATATAATAATATATAAACTGATTGATTATATGATTATAACAAAGACTGTTTTATTTGGAATTCTAATGTATCCCACCTCATACATGGACACATAGTTTAGTAATTAATGATATAATGTGTTTGCGCTGCACTGGTCACAGTATTTAGCCATGATTCCTCTGAGGACTGGAGTTTGAGGGTATGGGTGTCCTTCTGGCTCGTAAAGCAAACTGTTGCTGAAAATGACTGACACCCTGTTTAACTTACTGCTGTCTACAACTTTATTCGTCTGTGTTCAGCATAATCTGTTTATCTGGGACCCAACTCTGGATCATCATACACTATTCTACTTTAATAGCTGTTGGCAGCTCGCACTGTAACTACTAGGGTACCACCACTAATTTGAGATGCACCTGAAGTCATTTGGTTCTGGAACCGGGCCTAGCTCTCTCCTCATTGGTGAAAAATGTGCTATTGATCAGAAAAAAATGCTATTTGGACCACAAGCCCATATGTCAATAATGAGCCAACTCATTTTGAATCTTTAGCTAAATTTAAGGTTAGGGGTGGCTCATATAAAGTGGCAGCATTATGTTTAACAACCTTTAATGAATACAATGGATGCACACATACAACACATCAAAGTCAATACTCACTGCCTTTTCTTTTTCTTTGAATGACTTTTTTTGCAGGAGGCAAACACAGCAGCTGGCACAGGTCTTCTGATTGGCATGATGCTTGCTCCACAATAGGGGCAGCTTCTTGCTTTGGGCTTCGTCATGACTTTGAGAGCAAGATGAATGGAAAAGAAAATAAGAGTGTGACACATAAAAAGAACTAAGTTACAATTGACTGCAAGGGCTGTCTAAATACAGCTAGCAATCTTGATAGCAATTTACCGTTGACCAGCATAATGTGTAATCTGTAAATATACAAACTATATTGTTTTATAGTTTACATTTTTAGGTACATGCTCAAAACATTAACTGTGTTTCTTACCTGTTTCTTCCTTCTACTAAACATTTTCTAAACCTGTGTTTCTCTCCGTTTCCGCGCGAGGACAGTTAAAGTACCCGCGTTACCAAGTCCCGCGAACGAGCCGCGGTGAATGACTTCTCGTCGCTTGCACTTTAAATCATAAAACATAAGAAACAGTATTTCAGTAAAGAGAATTTAAAAATATGTATATATGTAAATTAAAAAAGAAGTCAAAAAGAAAACAGAAAAAAAATATGAAGCGGCTGTAAAACTATGTGAAATAAACATATTTACTTTTTTAAAATATCAATCATCTAGATGAAGTGTAATTACTGATTCGGCTGCACTAAATGTTTGATATATTCAATAGATGTCTGATATTATGACCCTATTTTACAACCCTACTTTGAAAACCGGAAGAACAAGCTAACCCAAATCCACATTTATAAAATAACAGTTAGTATATCTGACATAAGCCAACATCTTTACTTTTTCTTAAAATTAATCACATAGATGGAGTGTAATTACTAATTCGGCTGCACTTAATGTTCGATATATTCATTAAATATATATTTTTACGACCCTATTCTTCACAATACTTTGCAAACCAGAAGAACTACAAACATGGTGCTTATTTGTATCAAGCTTCAAGGCGCTGCACAAGGGAATTGTAGTTTTTGTTTTTAATGGTACATTTCCTAAAAATGGAAATTGTAAATATTAAATTAACAGTATGCTGATAGATTTAAAGGGGTGGGAAACAGATTTATGTGATCAGATTGTAAATATGCAATTGTTAAATTGGTGGAAATTCATTTTGATCATACATGACAGTGCCCCCACTTGGTGACTATATTTATATGAATATAGTCACACAGCTGAAGTCAAGAGCTTTCTGAAACAGTTGGTCCCATGTCTGTAGCCTCTTCTGTTGCTGAATGACAAGCCTTCCAATATGCACTGAGGTCAAGGTTCAGAGGTCAATATTTCACAGTAGGAGCCACTTAAAATCTTCAAACTGACATATGTTACTCATCAGGACGAGGCCTTTCCAAAAATGTCTTTAATTTTGTTCTAGGACAAAGTTTAATTCTCACCTCTGTTTGGTGCCTCTTTCAGGTGTAGTTTCTGAGACCATTTGAGATGAACTCAAGTTTTTGGATTTTTTGCTTATATGTTTGGTAAAAACCTTCAAGGTATTGATGTTTTTCCTAATCACATTCACATTCACATTAACCAGGAACTTCCCACAACCCAGTAGAAAAATCAAACCTTATAGAAGTGATTAAACATTTCAAAACCAAATGCAGAAATAACAACAACCTAATACAAAAACTACAACTGTCATCTCCAACTTAATCCTGACAATGAGCACATACGTTAGTTACTTTTTAAAGCCACATGCTCTGTGTGACCATGTGTCGCACACGGTGCACTGTGATCATGAGCACCACATCTTCCTGTTTTACATTGCATCAGACTCTGAATCTTCACAGCTAATGTCGAACTCATCTGAACTGTCCATTGTGTCCATTATGTCATCTGCTGATGACAGCACATGCAGGTAGTGTTTTCTTGTATGCCGCTGCAGCTCTCTCTTTTCCCACTGGAAGGATGAGGCAGGTATGACCCTTTGTTGCTTTCTCTGTGAGATGTCCTTAAGAAGGGATAAA